GTATGAAAAAATACCATATACCACCAAGTCTCAATAAAGTACTTAATTAATGGTTTTATCGTTGAAACGGATGACCAATTCGTATTTAAATAAATATATAAATAGTTTTGATATAGTGTTTACAGAGGCGTATCACGTTGGGGACAGGATCTGACTCCCCAGCTTCTGTGCTTAAGAATGCCTAATAATGTGTTGCAGCTAAAGATCTTTTTGTGCAGCTTAAGTCAGAGATTGATGGCAAAATAAACACTTGATTAGTCATATATAAGTGAAAATTATTGGGTAAAGATTGAAAATTAAAGAACTTGAAAACAAAACTATTTCTTATTTTATGGCATATAAAATGTCGTTATTCTCAGCAGATTTGTCACGGAGGGCCTCATTTTAGTGGTACGACCACATAGTATCACGAATGATACACTTGGTGCATGCTAAACACGGGTGTTTGTCTTTGCACTTAAGCGATAGGCTTTGTTTTGAGCTCTGTAAGATTTTGAGATCACTTATGTCTGTGTGTCCATCAACATTTTGCTTTGGTTCAATGTTTTTGAAATTTGGTCACACTTTCCATTTCTTCATGTTGAACATTTTACATGCCATCAGGTGCACAGACACTTGGGGTTTGGAGCTTAAAACTTAAAACTTCTTTAAAATCCAAATGAAATATATATTTGTCAATCCCAGCACATGTACTGATCATATATATCAAAAAACTTAATATAAGCCGTTTTGAAAAAAAATCATATTTCAACGTCTAAAATAATACACCTAGGGTATAATGGACAAAGCTTCTTTGAATATTGACATTCAGTATGTAACGGGCACAGCTTCTTTATGTACTTTGTATGCATGCTTGTAACGCAAAGTTTATGCAAAGTTGCAGTAAGATGCATGAACCAGCAAAAGTAACAGAGATATGACAGCAAGAAAACCAATGCCTTGGTGGGTAGAATAGCATCCCTATTCTCTGCATAGTGGAGCTAAAACTGAAACTCAAGATGATTAAAAAAAACAACTCCTTTTTGAAACTGAATTTATTTTTTTCGAAATTGAATAAAAAGTATCCATCTGTCTTTCTACCTATATTCTAGGTAATGATGGATTGATCATAACTGTCACAAGTTATAAGTAACAAAACTTTATAAACATAATATTTAACATGATATTGGTTCATGAACTTGAAATGAAGTCTACAAAGACTTGTTATGTCAAACAAGAACTTCGCGAGTCGGACCTGTCTCCTGACAATAGCATACGATTAAATTAATGTAAATAAGCAAATAAGCAATTAGCAAATAAGCAAATTGGCAAATCGGCAATTCAGTAGTTGGCAAATAAGCAAAGTGGCATGTCCCTACCGGCATTCCATATAAAATAGACTGAAGCCTAATAAATGAAACACAAAGTAAAACGTCATATTGTCATGTGCCTTGATAGCGCAGTATAGGCAGAGCGTCCGTGTCAGTGTTGTCTCATGCATTTAGATGCTCGTATCATATATAGTTAGGTACCATTACATTTGAGTGTTTTATGTACTAGTATCTTTTTCTTATTTGAGCAGTTTTGTTTCAAATAGTTACAAATGCATGAGATAGAATATTTTTGTACACAGGTTGGTATGCAGTTGCGTTACGTTTGGGGAAAACGTCAAACATCAGGAAAAACATTATCAGAAATGTAAGAAATATAATGGAATGAAGTGTGCTATATATTGATCCATCTATTCAAATGATTAGTATTTCGTAATTGTAGTGTGTTTAAAATTGTTTGATTTTTAAAATGTTACATAAAATTTTATAAAAACACCTGAAATGTAGTTAGTTTCTAAAGAGTGGGAAAAAAATGAAATAAAAAAGAAACATAAAATAGAAATAAAAATTTATAAGAACCAAATATATGTTTATTCAAATGATCATACAAAAGACAGACAAAGTGAAAAAGGGAGAAAAACAACAACAACATCAAAGTAACATAGCAGAGCGAAGGGTTCAAACCATTAAAAGTCACTGTGATGTTGATTTACCAAGTGAGCTTCTATACGATGGTACACATTTTTTAGAATTAAACTATATATAGTTGTTGACACTTTCAATCTCAAATAATATGCAGACTTACCCTTTATTGAACTTTCCAAAGTACCGTTAAGACCAAATTATCATCACATGACAATATGGACAATACACATTTAATTTCTATATTCGACTTATTCTACTTGAAAAAGAAAAGGTAATGTGATGGGCTGCAAGAAAAACAATAGATTAAACTTGAGCAACACGCAATAAATATGACACTGGTAAGACTTCATACATGCATTTGCAAGCCTTATCATACCTGCTGAATCTGATCGTTACAAAAGATGAAGTAGGCCGAAAAGTTGCGATCATGCAGTCAGGCAGACTTTCATCCGTGTGATCTTCTAGAGAAAATTTCCTATCAAAAGAGATACCTTATTTTCAGCTACATCTACCCTTCTTACCGTAATCTAACGTAAAACAGATTCCGAGATTTCAGATTGTTATTTTAAAATGACAAATGATTTTTTTACATAAATTCAGTTCTTCCTTCGGCCGGAGAAATACCGTTGAGACGGAAGTTTTGGAGGGAACAAATATCTAATTGTCTTTTCATTTGCTTATTACAAAGAAATAACAATTAAAGTAACTTTTATTTCATGCATGTAGATTTCTGTATCGGTATACAGCAAGCTAAATAGATATAATTATGTTTGACGAAAACGAAACAAAATTTTAAATAGAAATTACGTATGTCTATATATAAGCCTATTAAAGCGGATATGATATCAACTTTATTTTAAGACTTTAATCATTATATATATGTATGAGTCATTCTGCCACGTCATTAAAGTCAGCACTTACACGTGTACAGTATATTTATTGCTATTATATTTTTGTATTTACTTTAGTATTTGTTTAAAGTCATAAAGCAATATATCTACTGCGTGTAGTTTACCAAGTTACTGACTGAATATTGAAAGGAATTATTCAAAAATATCTGTTTGAATGAAATATGTTTGTATAGTTACTATAGATGCACAAAATAATTGCTGAACAAGTAAAATTCTGCTTGAAATAGTAGCATAATATTTTGCTTCAGAACGTTTTGTTTTGTAGACGTACAATATTCATATGTGTTCATGAACAGAGACATTTATTGTAACAAGAATCTAATATAAGCGTATGAATACAACATAACTTTCCAATTAAAAAATTCATTAAAATATTTTATTTGATATATCTCCATTCCTTTAAGTACATTAAAGATAACTTCATTTTTTCTTCAGGTAAATGGGAAGATCACATGCACGTTTCGAGATATCCCGGATATAATGATGTTTGTTCATGTTTACTGATGTTTCATAAAAAGATAAAGACTATTTTATTGCAAAATACATTTTATCTGAACATGCCTAAAAACATTGCAAACGACTGTACGCATAACTGCGCATGATTTTTAAATTCATTTTCCGGTAAAATAAATAATTTTAATCAACAGAAATATGATAATGCTACTATAGAAGAAATACAAGGCATGAATTCTTTCCAATTTGTTGATTCATTGAACATTGTAAGACATTTTTCATGGTCATGTGAAAAAAGATAAGTGTATTTATCCGAGGATAGCCAAGTTTATATAGTTATTAATTTATCACTTTAATAGATAAAAAAATCAGATAATGATATGTGTACATATGAATACCCAAGTTGTCTTTGAGAAATTGACGGTAATCACCATCGATTTTTTGTGATTTTATTAGCCCGGACTGAATGTCCGTGTTTCGAGGGATTATATAGTGGTCAAATTAGAAGCAATATGGCCGAAACCTTTAATTACTATTAATATCATATTGGTATTTGATCTCGTTTTTATACAATTTCGCCACACAGCTGTTCATAACACATTAGGTCATAGTATTTATTATGTATTGAAAAGAAATAATCAAAAGCTGATATTCTTCCACAAAATGTACATTTTCAATTATTTAAAATAAGCTATTCAAATTTTCACATTGTCATATTTTTTTTACATAAACTTTATTTTACATGACATTTTTATGAATCAGCGTGGTTTATAGTACTTGTTCAAAAATAATTGTGATCGAAATTTCATGATACTTTAGGAATATATACAGCACTGTCATTATTGCAGCGATGCAAATTTTAAAACTGCTGCGTTTTCCAAGGTGAAATCAATCTGGCTGTCCAGCTGCTATTTTTTAAATATGATTTTTACTTATTAATTCATGTTATTCTTGTTGTTGTGTTTGTTTTCTTTTTTTGTTGTTTTTTGAAATAGCTATATATAGGCCTAGTTCCAACTCGCATTTTTGTTATTCATTTCAGATTTTCTCGTTGTTCAATTCATATTTGGAGAAGACAAATAACTTTAAACACGATTTATAAGTGTTCTATGTTTTCCAATGCATTATACAGAAACACTGACATCTTACGACTTCCTTAAAATAGTCGTAATTAAGTAGAACCTGCTATAAATAAATGATATGTATCAATATTTAAGTTATTTTATTTAATTTATAAATGGAACTGGAAGAATAAACAACAGTAAAAAACGTCTTAATAAAAACAAAGAATTTTTTATACTCCATTTTAATTTTTTTTTCTATTATTTTTAATTATCTTTTTAATTCTTTTTTTCCGTATTCTATACATGTTATCATAATAGTAAATTTTCATATATATTTCATGTATAAAGGTTCTAACAATAAGATAAAACAGCTGTACCATGAATGACGTCAAGTAATAGCTATATTTTTTTTGGTTACTTCTATTATCTCAGTAACTTATACACACAATTTTATAAATACCAAGCTAATTCATTTCATATACAACAGTATCCTCATTCTATCGCCATACATTAACCAAATATTAACCATTAACATGAACATTATAATTATAACTGTAGCAGACGATTACTGTCACTATAATCAGATTGCAGCAGACGTTTACCTAGAAGCAGGGTAATTTAACGTATTTTACGATGACTGGTGTCCGTGACTTTCCGCCGCAGATTTCTTGTGAAAAGGATTATGCAAATGGATACCATGATAATGTTTCACGTGATCTCTGTGTCTAGCAACCACAACTGGAACATGCGAATGGTGTATTATATAGTCCGTCACACTACCAGTAACAGTCCGTCGGATGGTACCTTTGCCCCGACAGCCGACGACGATATAATCAGCGTGTACGTCTTTTGCCAGCGCAATTATAGCCGGTCCTGGAGTGCCGTGAATACGTTCTATAGTGCCGTTGAGCTGAAAGAAGCAAAAATGGGAGATCATTTTTAAGTGATAAAAGGACGTATATAAAACTCTTAATTAACATGCTGGGAACGAAATTGATTAATCATTGTCACCAGTATAGAGCCAGTGTAGTCTGACCAGGCTCTACTGTTGGTAGCCCAAACCTTAGTTCGTCTATCGAGTTATTATGATAGATGCGCCGTCTTTGTAGTAGTCGTGCAAAACCTTTAATGTAGCAATAATTGGAAAACTAACAAATATATTGTACCCATTCTCGGCATTCTAACTAATATATATGTAGGACAATTACTAAATATCAGAATTTCTAGAAAGTTGTTCCCTTTTTCTCAAGGGAAATAATTAAAATTTTGTATAAATACCGATATCTTGAACATTCAAAATATAAACGTTATTCATCTTGTAGAGAAGTAAAGTACATAAAAGCCAAAACACTCTTAATTTTACTAGTCGTTGGCCTTCACTTCACAGACAAGCGTAAACACTGCATTCGGTGCTCTACTGTCATATAACTCATATTTGAATAGACTTTTCAAAATTGAAAGCAAGACAAGTCCCTTACATGTAATATACAGTTCCTCAGTAAGTCCTAAGCTTTCATTACATGTGGATCGGTCTGAAAGATTCATAACTTTAAGCACTTTATTTGGTTGGAGATTTTAACAAAGCGATATTCCTTGTTAAGGGATATAAAATCCATTATCAAAGGTATTACCTTTAGAATTTGCATTTTCTGTATTATTTTGTCCACTAGTTCGTCAGTCCTCTGTTCCTCCTCATTCATTTCCTGTGTTATCATGGACACCATTGTATCACCAGACATCATACCTACAGCTGTTTTTATACAGAATATATGAGCCGCGTCATGACAAAACCAACATAATGGGTTTGCGACCAGCATGGATCCAGACCAGCCTGCGCATCCGCGCAGTCTGATCAGGATCCATGCTGTTCGCTATCAGTTTCTCTAATTGTTTTACGGTTTGTAAGCGAACAGCATGGATCCTGATCAGACTGCGCGGATGCGCAGGCTGGTCTGGATCCATGCTGGTCGCAAACGCATTATGTTGGTTTTGTCATGGCGCTGCTCATATATCTTAATAAACTCTTGAAATAACTATATAATTACTTAAGGTAACCCTTATCAACTCTTAAAATAACTTTATGATAATGCATAATAATATTATATGCATAATATTATATGCATAAACTATACATGATATAAGTTTCAATTTATTTTCGTTAAATTCATACAAACAAATGAGAAATTTTAGTGGTAAATTTAATACCCTAGGTGTTGGAACGTCAAGCTTACCATTTCCATTCTAGACTTACTGGAGATTTATATCAAATGAAAGATAACTATCATTTAAAGCACAAAAATATAACTATGCATCAAGGATAATGTTAATCATTTTTCGATATTCAAAAGTAGATAATAGAAAACTCTGCACTAATTATAATAATTCATAAAGAAACCTAGTCTTGCCCCTGTTTAGGCAATAATCTGACATTTGGAAATACAATGTTACATGTCAAAGTTTGAAAATGATATTCGTATTAAATATACAATGTTTGTTGTTGTTACTATAAATGGAGGAAAAAGTAATGTATTTCTTCGCGTGGACATAGGACTTATTAGACAGAATTCGTAATACTATTAAAAACGATCACTATACTTTTAATATTGTCAAAATGTTGTATGGACAAGCATTGTGTGGTGTGTTCGGTGTTATTTTGTCTCTATAATCCTTATCTCTCTAAATATCTTAAATGAACTTGTCCATATTTCAATCTAGCAGTGTATAGTGTTTTCAAGGTAATTTTTCGCCATAACCATTATCTCGCTTAATATCTTATATTTCAATCTAGCAGTATATGGTGTTTTCAAGGTAATTTTTCGCCATAACCATTATCTCGCTTAATATCTTATATTTCAATCTAGCAGTATATGGTGTTTTCAAGGTAATTTTTCGCCATAACCATTATCTCGACTTGGCCATATTTCAATCTGGCAGTGCATGATGTTTTCAAGGTAAATTTGTCTCAATAAATAGACTTATTTCAATCTTTACAACACCGTTTCTTATTTTAAGGAAATTTTTAAAAATATTAAACCGAGTGTGTAGATCATTATCAGCCAGCACAATGTCGCGTGCGTACATTCAGTTACTTCCGGGCGGCTATAAGAGGTGATTGTTCATTTTCAAATACTTCTTAGAATGACAGAGCTCTTAACTATTTTCCTATGTACTTATATAATTATTTGTGTGGGATCTCCTCGAACCTTTTTAATTCTTATAACTTCACTTATTCATTAAGTACTAAGAGGAAGTAAGGAAATAAAACACTTACTAGGGAATGTTATATTGGAGTATTCGGTTGAATGGGCAATGATCACATGGTTGTCTGGCCTGTGCACAGATTTCATATAAACTGAAAATAATCACGAAGAAGAAAGATTCTTTATCTCAAAATACACATATGAACAACGACAATCTGGTTTAGGCTTATAAGCCCTTGACCTGACACAAAATACAACTACAACACATCAATAGAATACAATACAATGACAGAACAATGAAATTATTCATTATGTACATATTGCAACATATATTCATCTGAATGTTAGTTACATTATAATTTATATTAAAAACACGTACTACTGTATATTTTCACACATGTATATTTCTTTGATTATTTGGGTAAAGATGTTGTTCCGTGTGCTATTGTTAATACAAATCAGCGGTTATAAATGTCTACTTGTAATATTATTATATCCTCATATATAAATATTTATAATTATCATTATTGCAAACCTTATACACACGTGCACATGAATATAATGTAATACAATACCTTGTATCGAAAATGAAATTAAAGGATAATAAAATACAAAATCATGACAGTTAATTGAAATTGTAAGTTAAGTTAGTTATGGATAAATCAGATATAGACACATACAAAATATGCCTTTAGTATGTGTATTAAGACGATTATATTACTATTTCATGCATGTCAATCATGACACATGCAAGGGAAATAACCATGTCAATTATTGTGAAAACTAAATAACTAATTTATCATGTTTGTCTTTTTACAAAACAGTTTACATACCAAAATAGTTTACATTCTTGTCAAAATATTTTGTATATAAAACAATGAACACAATAAAGAAGACAAAGGCTGTCCTGGTGTAGTTTTTCTTAACAAGCTAGACATCTCTAGTTCTTTAAAACTTATTTTGACTTAGAAAATGTATTTTTAAAATATTCAAGATATTTCGCTTTAGACATGGTAAGTATTGAATGGAATGTTTTAGCATATATGGATAAAACAATGAGAAATCGCACAATACAATATAAAGGGAGATTAATCGTAGTTGTGTGTGCTTGCTGACATATTCCAGTTGTCTCCCTTGACAAAGTAACATGTAATCTGATTAGAAGATACACGATAAGAATGGTGATAATTTCTTGTCAGTTCTTGAACAAACTCCAGAACTTTGATTTGGTAACTAACGTATAGTGTTATCACTTTAGATAGAGGCTGATTGTTTTCCCCTTGTAAATGATATACTAACATGGGTTCGTTTTCATAAAACTTGGTATTTTAAATCAAAATGATATTGTCTTTGATTCATTCTGATAAATTTTACAATATTTGAAATTCTATTCCTCTTTAGTATCCTGGTAACTTGGCATTTTTTAGCCTGCTGTAGGCCAAAAATGCTATCATTTATATTTCTCAAAACTGTTAAATTTTGGTATCTTTTTACAGTTTCCCAAAACATGTAACTGTATACTCATTTGCTATATACATTAAGAATCTTTTGCATCTAATGTTTGCAATTGTTATAAATATAGTGAATTATTATTATGGAAGTCAAAATACTACTTTGTTTACATTTTGCTACCTTTAAGTCACCTAATAATGTTCAGCGCTACTTTTTTCAGATGTAAAACCAACATAGTGCGTTTACGACCAGCATGGATCCAGACCAGCCTGGGCATCCGCGCAGTCTGATCAGGATCCATGCTGTTCGCTATCAGTTTCTCTACTTGTAATAGGGTTGGTAAGCGAACAGCATGGATCCTGATCAGACTGCGCGGTCGCAAACCCATAATGTTGGTTTTGTTGTGACGCGGCTCATGTAGATAAATTCGATAACATTGACGACAGTGATTTCTTTTAATTTTCAAAAGAACCTGTGGCTTTCTAAAGGGGGAAATATAGCGCGATAAATCAAAAAAGGGGAAATCAAATTAAACAACGGAGAATTGAATTTACCCATATATTTTATAAAATGTTCTATTCCAAATCAATTTAACATGCATGGTACATAGCAGAGGCTATCTATAGGGACAGCTTTCGGTCTTCTAGCTGATATAAGTCAGATGCTGTTAAGTCATGGTTCTAGTGAAGAATGTGCACAGGGCATTTTAGGGGAAAATATAGCGGAAAATATACCTTATTACAGCCTTTAATGAAATACAGGTAAAAAATCACTGTACATGTACAAAAGTTTGAACGAAAACTAAAGTTGATCTACATATCATTATTATTATTATTATTATTATTATTATTATTATTACTATTACTATTATTATTATTATTATTATTATTATTATTATTATTATTATTATTAATATCATTATTCAATATAATAATATGATAATAATAAAGAAAATAAAACAACAAAGCAAAACAACAACAAAAATAACAATACAAGCATCTGCTTGCTCTTCTGCCAAGCGCCCGTGAGGTGTCGATGGACGAGATAAATGACTCTAAAGGATGATAGTTTAAAAAATGAATATTTTTTTTTTATTGTTTACTTAAAAGAAATAACGTTGCAAATTAAAACCCACGTATGTTTTTTTCTTTGGAAGTTCTAAGGAAGTTCCAATTATAAAGGTAAAATCTCTGTTTCCATAACTTAATCAGTATTTTTAGAAACAGTGGGGGTAAAAACTCACCTTTTAGTTTATTTCGATTGGCAATGATAGACTGTAAAGAGATTTTAAAGTCTCGGAAAACAGCAGGTACAGGATGATATTTGCGTTACAAAATATAATACAAATCGCAGTTAATCATGAAAAATGCCACTCTTAGGATCTCTTACCACACAGACGGGGTAGTTTGTTACATAGCTAATTGTAATATATGAAAACAAATTACTATGTATATACAGTAAGAGAGTTAGAATTAATAGTTTCGGTAAAAGTTATTATATTCTAAAGTGATTTTGAACAGCCCAGGAACTAATATAAGTTATTCAACCTAATTTGTTTAACAGAAATGAATCTTTGTACGCAAATTACCACATATATTAATATACTTTGCTTGGCAGATTGTTAAGCAATGTTTTAGTTACATTTGTTTATCTCGGGGAGCTATTAAGTTGTCAGTGTTATTAAATACATTGCACATCTATAGTCTTTTATTTACTGTGTTGAAAGAGTGGCACCGGACATTTATTGTGATGGTATACAAAACAATAATACGCGGATCGGATCTACCAGTGTGGGTTTTTTATAATTGCCAGAATAGTCAATGTCTTTAAAATTTGGAAAATTTAGCATGGTAACCGATAGAAAAGTGAGAATATTCAATCACCTTTTTAAACCTTTACTTTTTAATTCAGATGATAATGTACTTGTGAACGATGTTTTCATTAAGGTTCATATTGACTTAGGCTAATTAATTGGGAGAATTTTTCTCAACTTTTGGGAATTCTTTTAACAAATTTGGGAATTTTCAACAGCTTTATGAATTGGGAAAAGAGCCACATTTGGCAACCACTGTCTCCAAAGTCATAAAATGATAAGCTAAATATAGAATCAAACAGAAGCAGACAGACAGAAGAGGAAAGTAAGTGTATGTATATATATTCTTTTTTGGTAAGTTAGTCCATTATTCTTGTGGAGACATTGATTATCGATTAATCTTTATATAAGAACATGTGCACGATCCAGGTTACCATACAACCAAAACACCATATATATAATTATATAATATATTGATAAAAAAATCTCGTGTAGCAGAAGTAAAATCGTGTTTCATAATTTGATTCTGATACTGCGGGTATGTATAAATACATGTATACAGTTACTCTAGTCAAAAGATGTGACAGGTTTAGACTAAAATTGCTTAAAATTGACTAACTTTGAACATTAAATGATGAAAGTAGGCGTTTTAGAAGTAAGGGGTAGTCCCGGAATCAATATAAACCAGTTTTACTCAGTTGCAATACTAACATTTACCAGTTATCGAACTGACTAACCACCCCCAGCCACCCTCCCCCGCCCATCACCATCTCAACCCCAAAACCCTTCCCATTTTCCCAACAAAAAATATATATATATATATAAAATATATTAATAAAAATGATTATAATAACAAAAAAAATGTATTTTGGAGTTGTAGACAGAAATAACACCTAGAAGTGCAAATAATTCTCATAAAATCCATTCATCAAAAACAAACATAAAACAATCACGCTTCTCAAGTATATTATATAGCTATGTGTGAGAACAAACAGACTTTATAAAATTTCAGTTATTTTAAAAGCCAATCTTTATTGTATAAATTATACTTACATTGCAATGCATAGTCCGAATATTCACTCCCGTCCATGGCAATAATCACCGTTTCTCCGTTCTTATCCATCTTGTCTTCACCTGACTCCGCCATTCTTAAATCGAAAAAAAAACTGATAAGATCTTTATCTTTATTCTAAGAATAAGACCATGCTAGTGTTTCGTATAAACTTATAATAATACAGCGCGCGCTTTTAACGCTTTAATGTTGACTAAATACTTAATTAAGTAGAAACATTAAGCTTGCAGGGGAACGCGCTGCCGTTACATAATTAGCATTAAGAATTCATTTACGCCTACCTGAAAGGTCTTATCTTATCGAAAATATTGTTGTTGTTTTTTTTTTACATGTATTCAGTGCGAATTGTTTTGGTTTTTTAACAAGACTGTTATATCATGATGAAATACTTAAGGCATGAAATTTTAAAAGAAACTTCTAAAACGTTATAGGTAATCCACTTTCCCTTCTTTATAAATGTAATCGGTCTTTGACAGAGAAAATATATCCGTCGAGTTGGAAATAGCACATGTAATGCTACAGGCCTATTTCTCTTATTCTCTTATTATTATAGTTGTACGTACAGGCAAAGATATAGACCGTATCGTATTTTAAACACATGTTTAACTATCTTTACATAACAATGCTTTAATATTTTAATACCAGTCAGGGTTCTTACCGGTCATTTAACTATTTTTCAATTTACAGATTTGTAAAGCTTTATACTTGTATGGTTTGTTTTCTGTGATATATATAAAGCGGTCAAAAGAGTTTGGCATAAGTGATTAAATTTCAAATAAAGACAGTACTGAATTTCAGGTGATTTAATTCATTGGCTAGAAAACTATTTAATGAATAGAAAGTTTTTGCTTGTACTCTATGGTGGCCGATAGCGTCCATTTTAAAGCCGTGAGAAATTATATTGTTAGCTTATAAACCGTCGCGGACAACTTTTAAATCCGCGATATTTTATGTCGAAATTGTATAAAATGTCGCGGCTTATCGAAACTCTCGCGGTATTCTGTCACACTTCTGTCGTTTTACGAAGGAAACCGCGACCTTTTCTGTCTACATAGTAGACGAAGCCATGCAAACATAAGCCTACTTTAGGTAGCCGATGGCAGCCATTATAATTCGCGATATTTTGTTTTGATGAATACCTTGTAAAAAGTCGAGTTTGAACATTAAGTCTTGACTTTTTATGCCCGCAATGTCTCAGCGCAAAAAGTCGCGGCTAAAAAGTCGCAGATTTCTAATACAAAAACTCGCGGCTAAAAAGTCGTGAATTTAAAACCTCGACATTTTATGAAAATTCGTTCTTGAGGAACAAAAGATTAAACCATGAACGCTACTGTACCGGCCGCTGAAGACAAAATGTTCCTTGCTGTTACCAACAACTGTTATGAAATATCGAGGTTTATACGTTCCCCGCGGCACTTTGTATACGATTTCGACAGAAAATCTCGCGGGTTTGTAAGTTGCCCGCGACATTTTATAATTAAACGATAAAATTTCTCGCGGGATTCATATGGCTGCAACCGGTTACCATAGGACTCCCTTTTGTTATTTACGTTACCTTCCTTCATGGCGGTGCACATTACGGCAGGGTCCTTGGGCCTCTTTTACTTTTAATTTAGGTTGATTATATTGCTGATTATTTTAAGCGCAAGATGATATATATAGTTCTTTTGCTTTGTCTACAAATAATACATGTACGATAAATTCAATCACGAATAAATGTACGGTCTGAACAATGGTTAGTTATTTTGAATCCTTCTAAAACCGAGGTTATGCTCTTCTCGCATTGTAACAGAGACTGTCCGCAATTTTATTTTGATAATGTTCACTTAAATTTTGTAGAACACCATAAACACATCGACGTTATGTTCATAGAGTCAGGCCTGGTCATGGCACGAACATATTTCTACTTTATTTCTTTGGCATCTGAAATATTAAGTTCTATGAAAATATTAAAATTTCAAGTCCAAAGGAGTACGCTTTATATATCATATTTACGTAGAATCTAGAATACGGGATAACTGTCCACAGTACGATAAAGATATTATAGAAAAAAAAATGCAAGATATGAAGCCGCGGTAATTTAAATTCCGAGTTATATAGCAATCATATAGTTCGAAACCCAGCTTGTGAATACAGTGCTTTGATAAAAGACGCTGGACGTATTTTCTCTATTTTAACCTTTGTTTTAGAAAAATAAAGAGACACCAGTACACACAATAACATAATTTAACAGTTACTGCTTTTATTGAACCATGTTCGTCATATTTCATTACAGAAACGAAAAGGTTTTTAATATATAATTCAAAAATTTGATTTGTTTTTATGATTCTATATGAACTTGTAAGTCAAAGACTATCGACTCCTGTCAACATCCGTAGTAGGAAAACTGTTGGGTGTAGGAAGCGTGGTTATTTAAATATTACCAAAGCATAATGTTTTTTTTCTAAACTGTAATTAATAATTCTACTTTTAGATTTAATGTATGCATGTATGTATTTAGATGATGATCTATGTATAAGTGTGTATTAATTATCGTGAAACCGTATGTACGTACGTACGTACGTGTTGTGCTGTGTGTTCTATTTTATGTGTGTGTTCTGTTTTGTTGCGTTGCGAAACGTTATGTTGTGTTGCGCTCTTGCGTTTCGTTAAGTTACGCTTCGTTACGGTGTTATCATTATGTTATGTAATCTATGCATGTATGTATGCAATTAAATGAAATATGATTAAACTAATGTTATATCTTGCAAATAAAATCAGCATTAGTTTGTATGTGAGTAGATGTAACTCGAAGCTACTGGTCATATCATTATTATAGACGTTGAAATATGACTTTTTTTTTCAAATCAGCTTACATTAAGTTTTTATATCTAGATCTATTTATGATCAGAACATGTGCTGGGATTGATAAATAGAGCGGGTTCGGGTATTTCTGAACATGTGCACTGTCATATTTTCGTTGAATGAATATTGTTCTGAGATTTTAACTCAGAATTATAAAATCAAGCACACCCCTTTCTACTTCCGGTAATTTTTTTGCAGACGCTGCCCGAGGTGAGTTCTGTTTTTTGAAAAATATATTTGAAGTCATCGTTTTTGCACCTTTAAACTACATGCTTATATTGTAACACATTACTTGTTTACATTATCTGTTGTTAACTTTTGTTGATATTGGCTTTTTACAGTAACTGGAAAAAAAAACACATTGTACATCTTACTTGTCATGCTTGTAAGTGTTATTAATGGACTGTGTCCCCAGATGGATTTGATTTTCATTTAAATGATGTTCAGAAATACTCGAAATAAATTTATTCATTTCGGGTATTTCTGAACAATTTTCTTTAACATGTTACTTGACTTAATTCATCAAAATTTAAGAAGAACTCGGCCTTTCTTACTGTTTACATTTGTTACATTCTATTATTGATAATCATTTTAATAATATCATTTTTTTCTAGTTTCAAATGAAAATTTATATTTTAAGACAGCTCCTCCTGATTCAAATGAACACATGTCTAGAGCGTAAGTTTTTCCTCCTATATTAAGCTGTTTTTCTAATTAAACTTTTTCAGATGAGTCGCCAAATTGGATCAAAGAAGTATCGTTCCTATTCTGTTGACACATTGCAACATGCAGTGAACTTAATTTCATGTCACTTAATCAGGGAGCTGCATCCTTTGGTATTCCAAAGAGCACTCTATCCGACAAAGTAAACCAGAAGACCGTTATTGGTTGAAAAAGCGGCCCAGCTACCATACTTACTACAGAAGAAGAATCTTCTCTTGTAGATTGGGCTCTACATATGACCAAAGTTTAGCTTGGACGAACCCGTAATGAATTGTTAGACACAGTAAAGGTTATACTGGATAAAGATGGTCGACCAAACCCATTCAAAAATAATCGGCCGGGAAAAGACTGGTAGTATGCATTTGTTAAAAGGCATCCTCAATTAGGAGAACGAACACCACAACAACTTGCTAAAGAACGAGCCATTATTACCCCAGCTAAGATTGAAAGCTGGTTTCAGGAATTCTGTAATTTTATGGCCGAGGAGGTATCCGATTCTTCCGTATGAAACAACCCTGCTGGCTGGTTTAACGCAGACGAGTCGGGATTACCATTGTGTCCAAAAAGTGGTAAAGTTTGTCGCCAGGGGGTGTTCCGAATATATACAACTTCACTGCTTCTGATAAAACACAAGTAACTGTATTAGCATGCATGAGTGCGGCAGGTCAGTTTTAAAACCTTTGATTGTTTATCCGGGTGTAAGGTTTAATTATGACCCTCCGGAAGGATTTGCTGACGCTGTCTTTGGTAGGACAGAGTCCGGATGGATGGACTCTGAACTTTTTGTTACATGGCTAACTGAGGTATTTGAAACTGCGCTGTCTGAAAGGGAAATCAAAAGACCTGTGGTCTTGTTTGTAGATGGTCATTCTACACACTGCACATTAGAGGCCTCCAAGTTTTGTAGAGATCACGAAATAATCCTTTACTGCCTACCTGAGCATGCGTCCCACCTGCTGCAACCTTGCGACCTGAAACTATTCAGCTCACTGAAGGATTCCTGGAAACAAGCAGTACTTGATTTCCAAATAGCCAACATAGGTGAATACGTCACAAAACAAAAGTTTGCTGCCGTTTTTAAGCAAGCCTGGGAAAAGTCTACTACTGTTGATATAGCTGTAAAAGCTTTTCGTGACAGTGGACTTTTTCCAATGAACCCAAAGAAGGTTTTAGGTACTATTAAGATGGAACCAAGTACAATCTTTTCCAAGGCCAATACAACAGAAGCTGCAGCATCTTCTCAGGCAAATCCAACAGAAAGTCCAGCACCTACAATTAGAGGTGACAGCAAATCTGACAAAGTTGCCTCCGGCCACCCACCTGAAACACTCGTGTCAGATAAAGGTAGCAGCAGTTGTACATCTAAATCTGAAAGTCATGTCAAGCTTGCTTCTAATGCAGACACCATTCTTGCAAGCAGCTCCGCTGAGCGTGTTTCAGGTGAGAACTTACCTCAAGCAATTGCACCTATTATGTCGCCACCTTCTCAAAACGTATCACCAGCTTTCACAGATGTGTTGAAATTTCCAAAAGCATAACAATCTGCTTGCAAAAGTAAACAAAAGCGAATACCACTCCCAAAAGCAATATCTGGTTTCATGATCTGCTTGAACAAAGAAAACAAATTAAACAGGAAGAAAATGCTAAAAAAGAAGCAAGTAAAGTTAAAAGAGAGGAACGCAAGAAGGAGCGACAGGGGCAGCTGAAACAAAAGCAAAAGGATAAAGAAGAAAAGAAATACAACGAGAACAGCAGGAGGAAGAACTAAAGAGAAAAACAAAACAAATTGAAAAATTAGAGCAAGAACTTAAAAAGAAACGGAAATCAAAGGATTCTGATATAGATAGTACAGATGAAAAAATGAAGCTATTGAAATCTCCCTTGCTGATGACGAAATGGCCGATGTAGAAAAAAGTTTTTCTACCGCCAAATGCTATTCTTGTGACCAGGCATTTGATGGGGACTCCGAAAACTGGATTACATGTCACAAATGCCCACGTTGGTTACATAGAGCTTGTGTGAAAACAATTGATTTGCTTTCATTGTCTGAATGTTAAATTGCAGATTTACAATTTGAATGTGACTACTGTTGAATTACAAAGTGAAACAGAATGTATGTTAAGAATTCTGATTCCTGAAAGACCCAGTTTTTCTTTTGTTTTATAAACTGTTATAAGCACAATTATGTTAACATGGCATGAACTGCATTGTTTCTGGTACTTAATACAATGTAAATTAATAGTTACGTTTTAACTATTTTGAGTATTTAAATTTTATTTGAAATTGTGTTTATTTTAATGAAATTTAACTGGATGTTTATTTTCAAATTTGGATGTATTCACTAACAAATATGTTTAACGTACAGTATATAACCGTTTAAACTGAACGTATTTAGTGTTTGTGTTGTTTTTTTAAGTCAAAAGTATTCAGATTTACCCTCCGATGAGTTCAGAATCTCCCGACGTGTTCATAAAATACCTCCATCAAATGACATAATTTATCCTGTTGTGTACTGCTTTTGTATCTACAATGTATCATGATTTGTTCGAAATATCCCGCAGAAAAGTGAGTCCGTGTCATTTCTGACTACTTGAGAAGTTGCCAAGACAATCCAATCTGTTTTAGTTAGATAAAAGATTTTTGCTTAATTGTTCAGATATACCCGAACCCGCTCTATATTATTATATTTTATTTGAATTTTAAAGGCGTTTTTTTCAATGATCCACACCACAAGTGTATGTGTGTCTGTCTGAGTTCAGTCTATCTACCAAATCCTGCCACGTGTAAGACTTTTAATTTTTATAAACATAAATTTACTAGATCTATAAAAATATTGACAGATTTGCAGAAAAAAGCAAATTGATCTAGAATCTACCTTTTAATAGTCATGAGTGCCACCCTTAGCGGACGGTGACGTACCATAACTATTAATGCAAACAAATGACACGTGCACGTGCATGATCACCCGTCCTGAAGCGTTATCGAGCATTATTAGTCATGCTAGCGATTTTATTAAGCCAAATTTAAACGTTCTGAAAGGAACTCACAGTTTTCATTCAAAGTTAACTTGCAAAATGTCCAAGGTTCCTTCTCTGAAAATTGTGACGTCACTTAAATGGGTGACGTCATTTTTTTAAAAGTTTATTGCCTTAACGACATATAAGAAAGCGAGATCATAAAAAAACTTAAATTTTTTATTTGATTATTTTCAGACACGGTTACACGTGCATCAGAGGAGAAAAATTTCTCAGATAGAGTTCAGCTCTTTATCGAGATAGGAGTGACATGTAAGTACGTACAGCCAAGGAGAACTGATCAAGATCTTATTGACGTGATTTTAATATAGAAATCTAATCTACTGTTATTTTTTATTAAATTGTGCAATTAGCATGAAGTGTTTCACAGTATTATGTGAATGCCATACTATTTAGTATCAACACCATTGTATACACACCTCTCAAATACCAATATCGACAACACAATGGTATCAACACAGTACAAAATATTTGGTGTTGTTCAACCCAGAAATGAATAATAGCAAAGGGGTACCGATTGTTCAACTCGATTACGACAATCGTAAAATAATTTGGAAATACCCAAATAAACGAAATTCATCGAATAAACTTGGGATTGTTTCCTGTAAAAATGTCTTGGGGAGGACAACGCCCCCAGCAATATGTAAGAAAGTTTACTCTGTTATAACTTAGATCTGCTTGGCCATCTAGTACCCCTCGTTACTGTGACTGATGTCTCTGAACCCGTCTCTGAAATTCAAATTATGTCTATCAAATATTTAAGATATTATCCAAAATAATCCACCTACTATGTAGGCGCTTTTTAGCTCGACTTTTCTATGAAAAGGGGAGCTATCCTACTCGCCCCGGCGTCGGCGTTGGCGTCACACCTTGGTTAAGTTTTTCGTACCACCCCACTTTATTTCAGAAGTATTACAAGTATGGCTTTGAAACTTACCATACTTCTTCACCATCATAACCTCCATCTACAGACAAGAGTACATAACTCTGTCAAGGATTTTGACAGAATTATGGCCCTTTTTTGACTTAGAAAGTGTATTGAGCTTGGTTAAGTTTTTTGTACCACCTCACTTTATTTCAAAACCATTGGAGGTATTGCTTTGAAACTGACCATACTTGTTTACCATCACGACCTTCATCAACAGACAAGAGGACATAACTCTGTCAAGGTTTTTGACAGAATTATGCCCCTTTTTGACTTAGAAAATACATTGAATATGGGTAAAATCCACTTATTGCCTTAACCCTTTGAGATATTGCTTTGAAACTTTTAATGCTATTTCACATCATTACCCCCATCTGTACGCAAGAGAAGGTAACTCTGTCAAGGATTTGTTTTAAAAATTAAGGCCTTTTATCGACTTAGAATCTTGGTTAAGTTTTTAGTACCAGTCCACTTTTTGACTGAACTGTTTGAGATATTAATTTGAAAGTTGGAATACTTGTTTACAATCATGATTCCCAAACATGTCCAGGAGAAGGTAATTCTGTCAAAGATTTTATTTGAATTATGGCCCTTAACTGTCAATGTTTTGTATTATAGGCAAGCAGTGTTCAAGGGTATCACACAATTCAGTAAAATAATTCTTCACTAAATATCTTAATGCTCATGGCCATTGTTCACTTTAAAAATACAGAGATTCTTGTATTGCCTTTTACTGCAAAAACTTTTTTTATTGGCAAGCAATAAAAAAGTCGAGCGCGCTGTCTTACGGACAGCTCTTGTTATATTGGTTATTTGATAGAATTTCAAGTTCCTGTGCTCTGACAGTAGCTTGAATTATTCAATTTATTGTCTTCTTTTTCCACTTTTTAAGAAATTTATGCTATTTTTCTATCAAATTTCTAAAACTAGATTCACTACAGTAACTTTTATTATGTCTAACTCTTAGACATTCTAGATCTTAAATGAACTTGTCCAGCTTCCATCTTTGAAACTTCTCATAAAAGAGACCAGCATAGCTAGGCCGAAATTAATATTACGCACACTTGCACAGGATTAAGGAGAAAGGTATTCACGAATTCGAAAACCTAGCTAAACGCCATTTTCCGGTACTTTCTGTACATACTACATAGCTCTGGGGAATTCACGTAATGGAGTGTAATAGCGAAGTCAATGTTTTCGGCCTTTTTTTAAATTAAACTGAAATAAAACACTTATTTCTTTATAAGAAAATAATTAAATATCATTGTATGAATAATTCCATAAAAAATAAAGTAAATACACAAGTTTACGCAGAAAATAACCTTATTTACTATCGAAGATTCCACTACGTCTGTTTGAATTTTATTGATTTTCATTATAAACAATTTATTTTTTTGAATAATTTGCAATAGATATTAAACGAATATTGATAATTTTCAAAAACATCAATTTATTTCACCTTAAACGGTTAAATAATGATAGAAAAATAGACATATCTCGTAACTGTGTTATGTACTTCATTTGGTGTAATTCCCCAGAGCTAAAACGGTAACGTACCGGAAAACGGTGTTTAGCTAGGTTTTCGAAAAGGTCAATAGGAAGCCCCCTGAAGCTCCTCGATTTGCTCCATTTATTGTTGCGTTTTTCTTGTATTTGTTGTTGTAACAAATGTGGTTAATGTCGTTGTTTGTTGATGGGTTGTTTTTTTTCATTGACGCGTCTAAAGTATAACATTAAGAACAATAGCCATTTGCTCCATGGGCGCTGCATCCATGACCTTGTTGGCGACAAAGCAAAAGAATGGAGCGGCATTGCAGGTCTCCACAATAGGTTTGCTGATAATCATCATAATCTCCGCCACATATAGAAATTAACTTGTTCTTGATACCGAGTGAAGTGTATTTCGTGCGAGCATTATGGTGATCAAGGTTGTCCCATAAAACAGTGTTATGCTTCGTAAAGTTCTTTATCAAATTATGGATTAATACTCTTTACGTAGACATAACATTAACAGTGCTAATTAATGAATGTTATTCAAGACATAATAGTTTTAAAGCTTTGGAACTAATTACCTAAATACTTAGAAGTTCTATATTTACATTTTAAAAAGAATCAATGATATGATTAGAGCTAAATAGATTTTGGAATCATGTCTCAAAACCCTCTAACACCACCCACCATCACCCATACCCTTAAGTTTTCACACCCTTTCTAGCATATTTGAAATTTTATTTTTCTTGGATCAATGTTACGCATGTGTGTAGGTGCGTAATAATAGCTATGCCCCTGGTGACATGGGGTATTGTAATGTTTATCAGTTTTGGGGATATCAAAATGAAAATTTGAAGTTCATCAGCCAACAGTATAGAGCCTAATCAGATCGGACAATTATACTACCTGGCCTGGCTCTATACATGTGGCAAATTCATTTCAGTTTCAGCTGTCACTGTTAAAGGGGTAAAATGTATGTACTTTTGATGCATTGAGTCTTTTAAAATTGCATTTGCTGGGACATTGCTGCAATGCCAAAGGTCTTTTGCAGGGATTTATCATTCGATTTTACAATTTACATGTGCACACATGACAGGGATTTTACTAAGCATTTGCTGGTATGAAAGTCAAAATCCCTGATATTTAATAATAAAGTGTATACCTTGATTAAAGAATAATATTTATTTACTTCACTATAGGGAGGATATGGAGCACCTCAAGGGTACCAGCAGCCTGGTGCTCCTCCTGCTAATCAAATGTATGGTGGATATGGACAGCCACCATCTCAAGGCTATGGACAACCTGGAATATATGGCCAACCACAGCAAGGCCCCCCAGGTCAACAATATGGTGCACCAGGACAGCCTCCTAGAGGGCAGTATGGAGCTCCTCCACCAGGTCAGTACGGTGCACC